CTCTCAAATCGTACTTTCTTGTTAATTTTTCCCGTTGATACTATTTGTAATGTTTTTTTGTTATTTATTGTTAACATGTATCTGGTCTATATACCAGCTTTGATCGTATGGAATAACTATAAATTTTCATTTCTTCATACTTTGAACATCAACATTATTTCCTTTCTCCTTTTATACTGTTCCGGTACCTATACATGAAAATCACGAAGTTTTATCGAGCACCAGATTTATAGTTTTATTGTTGATTAAACGTTTTAATGGTACCAAACCTTCTCCCTTTTCTGAAACATTAGTATAAGATCACAACATAGAAAAACACACTATAAAATATCAATTGGAAGGCTTAACTCAATCAAAAATCGTAAATTAACACACAATGAACGAATGAATGAATTTGACCTGTGACACCTGAATGCAAATCCACAGTTAATAAAAAATTAAAAGGGATAAATAATTAAAGTCAAAAGTAAATAAACAGGTTTAAACAAAGTTAAAGTATGATATCACTGTGAAATGTCAAACAATTTTAAGAAAATCATCACTTTTGAAGAAACCTGCGTCATATTATACACAGGTAAATGAAAAGTATACTTCTTCTTCTGTGTGTATTAAATCTTTCGTTTAGGAATACCAAGAAATTTCTTTAATATCAATAAAACTTATCTAACACTTGGTACATATGGGGTGAATATCAACAATAAAACTATACAATTAATGCTAGATAAAACTTCCTGTACAGGTCCAAGAACAGCATCTAAGGAAAAATGAAATAATTGTGATGTTCATAGTACGAAGAAGTGAGAATTTGTAGTAATACCAAATAATTAAAGCTGGTATATAGACAAGATCCATGTTAACATTAAATAACAAAAAAACATTACAAATAGTATCAACATGTCAAATTAAAATGAAAGTACGATTTGAGAGTAGTCGCAGTTACTGACAGCTAGTTAACAGCCAAAACAATAAATAATAAAAAATCATGCACCAGAGACTAAAAGCAACTAAAATACATCCCAGGGATTTAGTATTTTAACGTCATGAACAGTCAAAGAAGACATGACTTGTGCAATGCTAAAAATAAATGTATCGACAGGTAGTAGGATAGTTAGGGGTGACTTCTTTATAGACAAAAATGAACGTGTGCGTGTCTCTATACATCCCGTTTGAAAAGAAAATACAAATTTAGTTATGTTTTAATTTGCTAATGACAAAATCGATATTTGTGCCAATGTAAACTATATTCAGAGATCTAATTACAACATTGGTACGATAACCCTTACTAATAAGTTTGTTTAAAGGTTCGATGAGTTTACACCGATCACATAATGATTTCCGCGCTTTAAGTACAATATTACCATAAAATTTAGGATGTGAAATACCATTTTTAATCAGTTTTCTACAGGTACAGCCAAATTTACTAATCAAATCTTTGAATCTATGAAAGAATTTAGTAAAAGTTTTAAGTAATTTATGGTAACGAATTCTCTGACTTGATAATTTACCAGTGATGCATTGATTACGTTCGTTAAAATCTATGACATCACTACACACACGGGCATACAGAACGAGTTGGGATAAATAAACACCGTATGATGGAGCCAAAGGCACATCGCCGTCTAAAAAAGGAAAATTAACTATAGGGAATGAAAAATCGTCTCTTTTGTCGTAAATTTTAGTATGGAGTTTCCCTTCGAAATTGAAATGTCTAAATCTAGAAAGGGACAAATGCTGCTGTTTATGTTAGATTTAGTTAAAGTAAGTTCTTTTGGGTAAATTTCGGTAGTATATTTAGAGAACTTTGGATTATTTAACGAAAAAATATCACCCAGATAACGGTAGGTATTGTTGAATGTATCAACGAAATGTAACAATGATGTGTCTCTACTGAGTTTGGTCATAAACTGAGATTCATAGCAATACAGGAATAAATCTGCTATTAAAGGGGCACAGTTAATTCCCATAGGAATACCTACTACCTGACGATACACTTTATCGCCGAAACGTACATATATGTTATCTAGGAGAAAATTTAAAGCTTCAATCATATCCTCACATTTCCAGTAAGTGTATCTAGCATACTTTCCTTTTTCGTCACAGAAAAAGGCTTTAAACGAGTTACAGCAAATAAATTTACAATGAGATTTTTCGAAAGACCATTTTATTAAATATGAAAAGTAGTGTAGAGAGTAGAAAAATCATAACTGTCAACAGAACCAAAAGGACAATCAAAAGCATGTATTTTTTCTAAAATTTCTAAAGAATTTTTAACAATTAATTCTTTTCATAAGCTTTATTACAAAAGTTAATAACCAGTTCTTTGATAGTAGTAAGGGAGGTAGTAAGAAGCACTGATATATTAGTAGTAGAACACTTACTAGATGCGGAGATGAAACGGATTTTAAATTGTTTTTTGTGTAATTTCGGTAACCAGTCCATGGTAGGGACTTTCAAATGTTCGGAAGAGGCTTTAAGCTGGGTAGTGGCAGTGATATGCTTGTTAACGATTTGACTCTCAGTGGTGCGTGTGGACCTGAATGTACAGGAATTGATAATTTCGCTTTGAAGAACTTCCGTGTAGTATATGCGTCATACCACCACTACATTATTAACTTCGCGTGATTTTTCAAATTGCTTGTGTGATTCTCCTGGTTGTTTCTGAACGGTTTCGAGGGGTTGGAATTTTATAAATTTAAGATTGTGATTATGCTTATCTAAATGTTGATATACCAAAATTTAGAATTTTTTGGGTCTACGAAAGCGGTAAAGGTGTTCTTGATTTCTTTTGTCATACTGTCGTCCCGTCTGTCCCACATATTGAATACCACACTTAGGTTGGGTTCAAGTTACCACATATATGAACACTAGTAATACATTTTCGTACGTCAAATGTTTTAATCCAAAAACTTTACAAGCAAATTATACGCAATTGAGAACCCGGGAACACAATGGAGCACTCAAAGATGATATGCTTTAAATCAATGTTGGAACCCTTGCGAACAAGCAGTTCCATGCAGGATTCTCAACGTTTTTCTAGAAAAGACAAATTACACATATTTGATGCATTTGAAATTACCAATTTTTGAGGTAAACAAATTTTAATCGTCGCGTGTTCCATGTGAAATCGTACGAACTCTAGGAATGAATGGGTTATACGTTATTTCGGGTTGATACCTTTGTTGTTGGGAGGGTACACTAGTAGCCATGAACATTCCCTAATAGGATTAATTGATAGGTATCTCAAACATATGTACAACCCTTCATCAAGGACAAATCTCCATCCTAACACCACATGAGTGCTATGAAACTGGAAGGTCTGTTGTTATTGTGGAGGAAGCCGAAGTTTTTGGAGAGAACTACCTGGCAAATCGGTGGGAAAACACAAAGCGAGGAGTTATCTTAGGAATGATTTCATAGTCAAAGTCGGAGCCATTTTGGCAAATCGAGACCCCCTAAGTACCTATTTTTGATACCAGATATATGTGTGGGATGATGAAAATTATCCTTCTAATGTTCTTAATTTTCCAGCGTCTAGAGTTAAGATGAAACCCAGAACTTCACCAATGTATCCATCTGTCTTAACCACTAGATTACCAACCCACATGTTGGTATATTGTCATTCATTGTTCTACATAGAAACCGATTATGTTTGTCGTTTGTTTGAATGTGCAGAATCCTCTATTTCGCAATTACATCCGGAGCCTTTTATAGCTGACTATGCGGTTTGGGCTTTGCCTTTTGTTGAAAACCGTATGGTGACATATAGCTGTTAAATTCTGTGTCATTTGGTCTCTTGTGGATAATAGTCTCATTGGCAATCATACCACATTTTTTTTTCTGATAAACTTTTCAATTATTTTGGCCCTCGAGCATCACTGAACATGCATAAAAGACATTGATTGTCTAAATTCGTATCTCGTGCAGTAAAAATGGTATTGTTTTGTTTTTATAATCGAATTATGAGAAATAATATTCTAAAATAAGAGGACAAGATTGTAGTTTCAACACAGCATTATAATATGTGACATAGATTTACCATAACGACCATGTATGATATTTTAAATTGCAGTATTTCTACAAATGAAACTATATATCAACAATATTTTTTTAAATTTTTGTTTAAGCAACCCTGTCATGCTTCCAATTATAGCTAGAATTATTTTGCTACGATCTCTTTTGTTTGTTCTTCTAGCATAAGGGTGTATAAGAAAAATATGCATACTACTGCATAAAACACTGTAAATATTAAACATGGTTACTACGCTGCTCGTTGCATATATGATTACTCTTAAAATGTAAATTGAAAAGCTGTTTCGCTATAAAAAAAAATACAAAGCTCGTGTCGATCAAATCTTATGATAACAAGGTTGTCTGAATGTTTTTATTTCAACTTTGAGAGTACAAGGTACGATAACGTGTACTCTTTCAATTATTGGGATTGTTGCCGCCAAAAGGCATTATTATAATTATCCGTTCATATGGTTAACTTATATAAGATGCCAGACGAAGTGTTAATAATTCCTAAACTAAATATTAAAGCCTATCAAATTATGCGTCTGTCTTGTTTCAGAAATTTTTGGACATTGATAAAGTGTGGCGAAAACTACCAAAGGGACATTAAAACTCATAAGAAAAAAAAAACACAAATTGTGACTTGGATGGAGAGTTGTCTCATTGGCACTCATATCACATTTTCTTATATCTATTTACAACGCCATTGCTAAAAAATGAAAAAACCAACATACAACCAATAGTTAAAAAACTACAACATAGAAACCCAAATGACTGAGCAACACGATATGAATGGGTGGTTGCAAAATATAAAATTGAGTAATTTATTTAAATTTAAAAAGGTTTGTCACTCTCATACATATCTACAAACACTCTCTTGTATGTAACCGATGGTACATCGAAAGAATGAATAAGGAAACGCAATGTAGTACCCCAGATTCGAGGCATACAGGATACAGAAAACAGAACGTTATTTTGTTTCAATTTACATTTATTCTTATGTTTTCCTGATAAATTGTTCTAAAGAATAATACAAGTTTAAATTCATTGAATTTTTAAAAAATATCTATAATATGTGCAAAACAAGCAATTAACTGCAAAAATTTTATTAACAGCCTGTTAGTTTCAGCTTCTTCAAAATGTATCTTATCATTCTGTTGCACTCACTGCAAAAGGAATACAAAAGGTCATTTAAAACACAAATATGCAAAAAAGTTTATATATATACATAGTTTCTGATTGGTTGTCTAATAAAAACAATAACAAATTTACTCACGTTTCGGCCATTATGGCCTTCTACATTGGAATAAGTTGAAACAACAATTACATCGCATAGATACGTCATCACAAACAAAACATGTATTTATGTGAATCAAATATCAAATACATAATCTGACAACACATCCCTTCTTGTTGAGTGTTGCCTACCCGATTTCAATTGATATTTTGCATTGGATATAAATTAATCTGTACCGTCAATGCATTTACTATGATTACACAATTCAAAAGTAATGTAAATATCAGATTTGAAATTTACAAATCATTTATTTCAAATGTGAAAATAGGGTTAATTTATGGTTTTATCTTATTCCCCTTCATTTAATAATTTTAGTAAGCCACCACTGTCTTATTGGTAGAGCAATCTTATTCGCTACCATGAATTAAACAATCATTTGATAGTACAATTAATAACTTTCAGCAAAACAATTTATAGGGTTTTAAATGAGATTGATGATAATTTGGTTTGATTTTTTTTATATTTTTGGTGTTGTAACGCCACTTTTAAGCACCGCATTTAGGCTATTTCGTGGCGGCCAGTTTTTATTGGTGGAGGAAGCCGGAGTGCCCGGAGAAAACCATCGACCTTCGATAGGTAAACAGAAAATCCTTGTCAATTAAGATTGTAATCGAGTGCACCCGTACGAGCGGGGTTCGAACTCACAACCTCAGTGTCGACTGGCTAGTGATTACAGTAGTAACTACTTAGACCACTTGGCCACCGGTGATAAATTGGACGAATTCGTTAGATTATGTTTACTCACATTTGGTTCTGTACATCCTATTCCACAAGTAACATCACAACATATTTTACCTGAAACAATATAATTAATACATTTGATTCAAAGACGATTGAAGCGATGGAATTCTTCATCACAACTTAAAAAGGAGACGCCAAAACTAAGCATGATAAAACAGATATCGTCATTGGCAACGTAAAAAAAGTAATGATGCCAGATATAAAGATGAATTATTACATGATATGAGATGTACTATTTATTCTTGTTTTCTTAGCACTGATACCAAACATGCTTTTCTGTTTCCCCAATCTCGTGACACATAATGATTGAGTGAAATCCACAGCAAGAATTAATTCACAAAGGATTACCTTAAAACCACATTGGAATCGGTTCAAATGTCCTGATAGGGACGGTTTCAATCAGATTTTCAATCAAATAAATAATCCTCGAATGTTCGTTGTTTTGAATTTATGTCTCAATAGCTAAGTTGTATTTAATAGCTGAATGTACTAACCTTGGGCACATTCCTTATCGTGACTACATTGGTGCAGGTGACAGGCGGCTACCTTGTTTTGAGAAGATCTAGAAAGACACTCTGGTCGGGGCTTCTACAATATTTTTTTTTTAAATATTAGAAAAATCAAAAAGAAAAATGTCTATTGGTTGATTTAGATTATTTATATTGTTGTTGATTGATTAATTTCGTAGATACAATGTATATTTTTTTTTTTTTTTTTGGTATCGACAAAGGGTGCATACTAGCAATGAGACAATTTGTAAACTGTTGATTATTTCAATGTATGGTTCATCTGTATCGACAAAATGCACACCAATAAGTATCCGACGAATAATAATGAATTTACAGTATGGTGTTTTAAGTTCTATAATACTCAGAATATGAGAAAGTCTACTTTACTTACCAGTCGTTCTCCTTTCATTTTAAGAACCAATATATTCAAAACTTGTTTACACCAAAGCTTTCTGAGACCATGTACATAATGTACAATGCTTTGTGTTGCAGATGGACTAATATTAAATTAAACATTTTTGTTTCTCTATTCTTTTTTTGCTCTTTATTTTGCCCTTTTTACCCATAACTCTTAACTTCTGTAACAGCTATTTGGAAATTATAACCTGAATATCAAAACACAAACTTGTGAAATATAATTTATTTTAAGCTACTTGCTGTTGCGGGTTCTTTACACTTTCGAGATCCGCATATATTTGGACAGCATTTCTTAGTACCTAAATAGAACGGAATTACAATTGTATTAAATTAATTGATTGTTGGTGTTTCAACGCCACTTTTTAGGCTATTACGTGGAGGCTATTTTTTTTATTGTTGGAAGAAGCTGGAGTTGCCGGTAAAAACCACCAACCTTCGTCAATCGTGTTTAAACTGAACGGCAAATTGTATTGAACATTTAAAGATTTTCAAAAATTCTATTATTATTGGAGGTACAGGGGGATACATCTATTTCTATAGTAAGGTACGGTTTAAAAGGCATCACCGTTTTGGATTGTCTACCATATCCAAAATTAGTTTTGTTTAGATCTGTGGTTACTCATAAGTCCTTTTACCTTTGCCCTTTGCCCTTTGCAACATGTACACAATTCAAGGGAAAAAAACATACATAATACACATTTCAATTTTTATATGTAGTTCAAAAAATGTAATGATGACTTATTCTGCATATACACCTATTCAGACAACAGAATTTAAACAATTTACAAATTTTAAAAAATACGATACTGCTATGCAAAAATCCCCCCCGCCATACAAATACTTCCTGATGGGAGTTTGAAACGACCTTAACTAGCTATACAGTCCTCGCGCGGTTGGTAACACATTTGTAAAGGTAACTGTGAAAATTATGCAGTGTTCATTTCATAACTTTTTTTAAAGTGAGAAATCGAGGTATATATCGTAATGGTTGTTTTTCTGGCTAATTTCTTTATTTTTATTTGAAAAAAAAAATGACTGTAAAAACTAAAGCAGTGTTTATTACATCTTTTTTCAGTAAAGTGAAGAATTAGCAAGATTCAGCTTAAGGTTTATTTTCTTGGCAATTTCTTGTCAATGGTCCTCGTTAAAAAGTCGCAGTCGGTTGTAGGTAATAAGTTAAACTAAAGCTTATCTGATCATAGTTTACACTTACGGTTATCATGTTAGCAATAACACTAGATTTGTTATTGTATTTAAAATTTGAATTACTTTTATTATTTCACAAATTGTAAACACGCTGTTTACCTTCTTCATTTCTTCATTATACATCATTCTAATGCAACATTGTTTGTTACGTTCAATTTGATTGGATAACGTCACAAATTTTCATTGCATCAATTCATAATTGATGCTATGAAAACTTTCGGCCAAGCGCAGACGACGTATGGCAGATTTTTAATGTATCATTTGACGTTGTTTTCTGTCAGTTTCATTAGAATGATGATAACAATATTGTATTCTAATCTTCGACGGCATCAATTGATGATTTGATGGTCGCAAATACCCGTTTACTGTCTCTGCTAACGTATCGCCAGTAAACTTAACTTGCGACCATCAAATCACCAATTGATGTCTTCGGAGCTTAAAATACAATACAGTTATCTCCAAATTTGTTGTTTTCGTTTTTTTTTTGCATTTTTATTTCTGTTTTGTAAACACTATAAAAACAAAGTACATACCTGAGCAGTCTGCATCATTACCTCCACAATTAGAAATAACGAATGCTACCATACAAAAACTCACTGGTTTTTCGGTAAAAGTGGGACATAGTCCATATTTACGCTTCACTGTCTGAAATTATGATTGAAAAAGGGATATCTCTATACATATGTATATTACTTTGAACAGTTCGTATCAGTTGGACTTAAGTCGCACTTTGTCACGCTTTGTCAACTCGTCTTTGTTTTGCATTTTTTCTACTCTATGCTTTATCTCTTTTGTTTTGTAGAATTGTTTATCGATCAACATTTGTTTACGCTAATATGGTTTTCTTAAAATTATTACAATCTATAAATAAAAAACCCACATATATCCCGATTTGATAAGAAGGGTTCTTAATTATATGATAAACATGTTTCAAGTTGGTTGTCAATTATGGGAGGAAAAAAGAAAACAATCGGTGTTCCTCAATATTAATTGACATGTTCACGTTTCTTAGACAGTTAAAGAAACAATTACCTTCTATGTTTGAAATTATATTTTTTATAATAAGTGAGAAACATGAGATACATCACAAATATTTCTTACAAAATATACAAATCAACATGCACCTAGAAATTTTGTTGTGAAAAATGACGGAAAGGGATCTATAGTAAATATATATGAAAAAAGTAAAATAAAAGAAATAATCAACTCTGAGGAAAATTCAAAAAGGAAAGTATCTAATCAAATGGCAAAATGAAAGCTGAAACACATCAAACGAATGGATAACAACTGTCATATTCCTGACTTGGTACAGGCATTTTTGTATGCAGAAAATTGTGGACTAAACCTGGTTTTAAAACTAGCTAAACCTCTCACTTGTATGACAGTCGCATCAAATCCAGCATATTGACAACGATGTGCGAACAAAACAAACAGACATAATAGGTAAACATGTCAAAAATATGGGTACAGCAGTCAATATTGTGTTATAATCTTAATCACTATAAAAACAAACAAATATGTAACAAATATATGATACATTTTAAAAAGGGACGAAAGATACCAGAGGGACAGTCAAACTCATAGATTGAAAATAAACTGACAACGCCATGGCTAAAAATAAAAAGACAAATAATAGTACAGAAGACACAACATAGAAAATTAAAGACTAAGCAGCACGAACCCCACCAAAAACTGGGGGTGATCTCAGGTGCTCCGGAAGGGTAAGCAGATCCACAATTGTTCACGATGTACACAATGAAAATAATCACTAGAACAGCAAAACTTTTAGTGAATTCACGAGTGTTTTCTGTATTTAAAGAACAATGATTTGGTTCCTAAGTAAAGGCTTCGTTTTTATACATTACAAAGACCCCCACGTCACTTAATGGCTAAAATAAAAACGCCAAACAGACAAACAATTGAAAACAAAACACAACACAGAAAACTAAGAAGTATCAACTTTAACCTACTGAAACTTGAGTGTGATATCATTTGCTCTGGATGGGTATGCATATCCTGCTTCACATATAACAACGATCGTTGCTCATGTAAGTATGATTTTGGCGATAAGTCAAATTCTGTAAGTCACATTCGGATTTCAATTTAAATATTGTAATAATTTTCGGTTTGTCATGAAAAGATTTAAAACGAATGAGACAATAACTCTTACTTTTTGTTACCCCTAACAAACATTACTTACACATTCTTTTCCACATTCTCTTGGGCAGCACATCGAGTCTAGAAAATATAAAACCAACAGAAAACAATAGAATATTACAGAATCGAAGAAAATGGAATATCTATTTCTAGTTCAAATACTGAATGTATTTATTCGTATTGATTAGAATTTAATGCAGCTAATTGCTGATAAACAAAACATTTATTTCAAAAAGTATTGAATTTATTTTCATATGGCAATGTTAAAAATAATGGAAGTTAATTTGGCTGTTAACTATGAGTGAAAATTACACAGTCAATTACTAGGTTAAACACACTTAATCATGTAGTTTTTTCCCCATTTTTATATTGGCTATTTCCCCATTTTCATATTGGCTATTTTCCCATTGTCAATGGCAAAAAATGACGGCAGTGAATTGATTGCTTACTGTGTAAAATAAAGATAAGATTACTGCATTGAAGACTGGTTATGGCCCAAGAAAATAAAATGCTTGATAACTATTTCAAATTGGCACATAATGTTTAGAAATGCATAGGGTCAAGAAATATAAATGAAAAACATTATGATTTTTATCTGATGACGTCACAATTACGTCATTATATGTACTGTTTAAAAAAAACGATGAAAAATACAGAATTTATGCAGTTTTCTATCTTTATTTCCGTTGCGGAAACATCGTGCGCAGCCAAGAAACAACAAAATAATTTAACAGACGCTTTATTAAAACTATTGACATAATTTCATCAAATATAAAGTTGTTTCTTGGGTGTGCACATACTTTTTGAATCTAAAATTTACTTAAAAATTTGATGAAAAACAAGGAAAATCACGAAATTTTACAAAATTTTACAAAATATGCAAATCATATGATAAATTTTAAATTTGGAGTAATTTTTCGGCCAAATAAGGGCCTTATTGCCCCTACTACTTTATCACTTATATGATATCTTAGTCCACCCTACGGTATGTGCCATTAGAATGTCAACAATTCGAACTGATAACTTAAAGTTTCAGTCGTCCTCATCCAAGTCTGTTTTCAATTAACACATAACTGAGTAGGTGCAATGTTAGAAAAAAAGTCTACACGAAAAATGGCATTTGCGTAAAGTTTTATTGGTCTGTCATATATTTGTTTAATTGGCAATCATATCGCTTCTACATAATCTATATCATAATCAATGGCTCACTGGGTCATTTAAATAAACCTACCTGTGTGAATATGTCGATAACAAATTCATATTACAGGTCTAATAGATATATTACCAAACAATTTGTCAGAATTATGCACAAAGAGAAAAAGACCGAATATAGAATAAAGTCTTAAAAATAACATCTGAAGAGTTGTCGCATTGGCACTCATACGACATCTTAAGATATCTATTTCATTTTTTTATGCTTTGTAAACGTTTTGTTGGTTAAGTGTTATCACTGTCCATACACAAACCACTAAAACTAAATACGAAACTTTAAAATCAGCATTGTGTGTTCTTTATTTGAATTGGGAAAATCAATTTATTATACAGGTCTTTTATACCCGTCTTCTACGAGATAGTTTCCGATGATTTGAAAAGGACCATAAAATGAAACCTTTTTCTCAGTCGTTTGTATAAGCTTCTTGAATGTTTTTTTTTATGTAATATATTTTCTTAAATTATAATATTGGGACACTTGGTGATAACAACTCGTAGGGTTGAGTTGTTTGTACGGTTAATTTTATTCAAATACATCTTAACGATTTCAAAATGTATTAATAATCTTACCGTGTCCACATTCACTATCTGTCTGACATTTATCCGTTTTAGGTAAACCGGGACATTTTCCTGTCTGTTTTATCTTTGGACATGGTGGATCGATTGCTGACTGTATAAAAAAAGACAAGATTACTGTATTAAAACATGGTGTATTGGTTGCTAACTGTATAAATAAAGACAAGATTATTGTATTAACAACGTACGTAAAAGAATTATCAATCATATGATATCTAAGTCTGCACTATATTCTGTGCCATCACAATTTCTTCAGTTTATTCGTTTCCAGTTTAAGAATAAACTAACGGTAGGGATCCGAATGTTTGTTTAACTTTTTTTAATGTAAAAATAATACTATAATTGCAGTTTATATATAGATATATATATTGCGTGCCGGGCATAGTGCAAGGCGATTTGGTGCCACTATATAATAGTAGCATGCGTCGAATCCAGGCAAGGGAAAAACAAAAATTAACTTCCGCAGATTTACGGATCTAGCATTGTCCGGCTGTTATTTAGACGAATTATATATACATAATGTGTTTTCAGCCTTGTATCACCATCACTGGTGATCTGATTGATAAAATCTGTCGTAGAGTTGTCACTGGTTCAGACGTACATGCATATAAATTGATGTTCAAAAGTTCAAGTTTGTAATAATCAATGTTTGCAACTGTATTTCTTTATCGCCAATTGTTATGCCCCTTTTGTGGGCATCATGTTTTCTAGTCTGTGCGTCCGTTTGTTCGTCCGTTCTTTTGTCCGACTGTTCCGCTTCAGGTTAAAGTTTTTGGTCGAGGTAGTTTTGATGAAGTTGAAGTACGATCGATTTGAAATTTAGTACACATGTTTCCTATGCTATGATCTTTTTAATTTTAATGCCAAATTAGAGTTTTTACCCCATTTTCGCGCTCCACTGAACAAAGAAAATGATAGTGCGAATAAGGCATCCGTGTACTATGGTCACATTCTTGTGTTCCAGCTACTTTTAATGTGTTAGTCAATTATAATTTGCAGCATGTTGACTCATGCGAATAATCCTATATCTCTATTTCATAATGTTCATTTTATTAAATTAGAAAAATATCTTTTGTCGATATCTATCAATTAATTTAATTTTGTGTAATCAATTAAACATTGATTTCTAAAGTTGTTGAAATCTGAACACTTGATGTGTTTTTAAGTATACTAGGAAAATTCAGAGAAACCAGACAAAATAGTCGACGTCGAATCATCATATTTCTACCATAATTGTTTTACGTAAATAAGCATATTTCTAGCAAAACAAATCACTTTTCCGACAAATGCAAAAGTGGCGACCACAATGAGACACTATGGCCATCTTTCTGTGTGTCTATACATACTTGACTATTTCCGTTTTTAGCTTGTGCATCGCTGGTGACGGTCAATATTTCAAGGCACCTCAGACAAACCTAATTTCTAAAGTGTTATTTTCATTTGCAAGATGCCATTTTTTTACAAGTCTACATGAACTGCAAATGTTTTCCATTCTATTTTCAACGAAATATATTCGATCATTATCATAATTATATAATAGTCTAACTGTGTATGTGTTGTTTAGTTTTGGAAATAATACTTTCTTGCACCACTGTCCTTTTTACGACTCTCCAAGACACGTTAAGAGTCATCAATTTGAAACGGGTTTATTTCTCCAACTTTTTCCGGCTGCTTACAGAACAGACGTTTAAATAACACACTATCATATATATCACACTATGTTGTCATTTATATAAAAGATCCTTACACACCATTGCAAATAAAGTAAAATAACTCGTTGAAAGAAATATTGACATGCAACAAAAGACGATTTTATTTTATATTTTATCAGCCTCTAGGAATATCAACGTATTGTTAAACTTAGTTATTATACAATTGTAAATGCAAATATATCCTGCTTTCTTCATTTGAAACAATAGAGCAATGGCTACCATCTTGTTAGTTGAAATATTTACAAAACTTTGAATTTTTCGGAAAACTTAGGAGTTTCTACCTAGAAATAGATGAGCATAGCTTTTATTGACAACTACTTTCGGAATTTATGGTCCTTAATGTTCTTTAACTGGTACTTTATTTGGCCTTTGAACTTTGTTGATTAGTGCGTCGATGATAAGTTTTGTATATATGAATCGCACGTCGATTAGGGCGTACACATGTATAAGTCTGATATCGTCAATTAGTTTATTTAGTGATCGTGAGAAGGATCCTAACTTTCCACTAGTGTATACAACAACAAAAAAGTTTCTCGTTTGAATTATTTTACATTTGTCATTTCGTAGCCTTTTATAGTTGACTATTCGGTAAAGGTTCTGCTCATTGTTGAAGGTCGCACGGTTACATTTGATTCGTATGTCATTTGGTCGCTCGTAGAAATTTGTCTCATACTAATCGTACCATATTTTTTTTATTTTTACATTATTCTATAGGCAAATGTATCATGTACATTAAAAAACCAAATATAACATGTATTTGTAAGGTAAATGAAAAAAATGGCCATTCAAAACTTTATTGTTACCATGATAAGATGTAACTAAAGCCATGAGTAAGACAATTTTAACATTTCTGCTGTTAAAAGATTGCCTACATCTTAGATAAATCTTCCAAAACCAAATTGTAATTCAATTTCTTTATTACATAGAATAAAACAACCGTAGACGATATATGTAAAAATGTTGACCTTTTGATACAAATACATTTTTTCTAGTCCGTATTTTAAGGAGTACCAATTATTCATAGCTAAAATAATTTTGTTTTATCTTCAAACAAAATGATACACAATTGTGTCACCCCCTAACATAGTAGAAAGTATCGTTACCATTAGTAAAGTATATCAGATAGCATACAATCAATCCTTCCTTTAACAAAAATACGTTAGGATCAGTATCAAAATCTAAAATGTACCTTTTTTGTTGTTGTTGTCAATAATAAAACTTGAATATTCAATTGATACATTTTTAAGAGGAAATAATCATAAATATTTTAACGGCAGTAGTAACACGTGAAGTAGATTAACTTATGCATAAAACAGAGATTATTTCTAACGATTGTCTGATTATACAGTATTAGAATTTTAATGGATTCCGTCCAATACACCAGTTTTCATTTACTTCTTTAATTCAGGCCACGATATCCAAGTATTGTTCTTTGGTGGCCTGTATATAAGACAAAATATGTAGTGTGTTTGTTAATGAGACAATTATATACCTGGGACCTAACGATGTTGGAAACTATGAGTTTGTCTTTCATTTTATAATTGATTTATAAAGGAGTTGGTGTTTGATTTTTGTTGTTTTTGCAATAGTATTGACAGCCCTTCTGTTAAAAAAAAGTGGTATTAAAAATAGAATTTAACGTTTTGCTTACAGGATTGAAGCACTTATGACGTATTGCGTTCCTCTTGCTCGTCAGTTCAGATTGGGGCTCTTCGAACGAATGGAAATGGTAAAATGCTTTGTTTATTTTGTATGCCCTCTTTTTATAGTTTATGTGTTCTTCATCTGAAGATGACTTTTTACTGTACTATATTGAATTTACTCTCAACTACACAACATTCTTGTTTTGGCGTCCTTGTGAGATTTAGAAATATGTTTCCGTGATTCTTTGATTTAGTAATGTTGTATTAATTTTGATGTAAGTTTAAACAACTCTGTAAATGGATCCCAATTATTGCCTTGTTAACCAATTAAAATGCATGTCTGTTTGGGTTGCTTAATGTTGTCAATATAACGAAATCAAATACGGCTGTCATACAAGTTAGAGGTTTAGCTAGCTATAAAAAAAGGTTCAATGTTGGCCCTTGGTTAAAACAATGTTAACGAGTAGTGCATAAGAAACATCCCAAAGGGTACATTGCAACAAAATAAAAACAAATGTAGATATGTCAAGAACCTAGCTTGCTTAGATGGATGAATTTGTTGAAAACTGTATCGATAGTAACATACAGGTTTATTTAATAAAATGACAAGTATTCAATGTAAAGGAGAATGGGGAGTAAATGTATTGCTGATTAGTTTAGGAGGGGGGTAAATGTATTGCTGACTAGTTTAGGAATACAGAGTTAAATGTTAAGCAAAAACATGGATTTTACAACAAAATATGATCTGTATACGCTACAAACGAAAGTTTGAAAAAGAACGCACCAATATATAATTGTAAATTTATACGATGTTTAATTTGTAGATTTCGATTAAAGAATCAATTTGGAATTGATACGTACATCTGTGTTGGTACATGAACACCAACTTTATTTCATATTATAACAAAGTAATGATCTAAATAGATAAATTAAATCCATCAGTGCAGTAAAAAAAAAAAAGGAAGAACATTACGTTTAAAAACAGTTATTAGTATTTATATAACTTACATGTGAATGAATTACACAAAGTATCAAAATCACAGCTGACCACATCATCGTCGCGGATTTAACTACGACTTATACTTAAAGTTAGCAGAAAGAACAATATTTTAAGTGTGAAATTGTTTATATAACAAAATTGTCATTATTCCATAATGCGCATAACATTTGAATGCATATTACATGTCGTAGTAAATCATATTAACCTGATTAATGACCTACTACAGCATGTTACATACAAGAAAACAATCCGTATATTTTACAGCTCAACCTTTCCGTAATTAAATGTTAAAACAATTAACAACAGATTTTTGTAACGAACGAGAAAACCAGAGGGCCAATAAAACCATTCAGAAGAAGAAAATCATACAAAACCATGGACAACAGACAAAGTATATTTATCATTTGTCATGAAGATGTTTTCAAGTAATTCAAATGGAGCAGCTAATACTGTAGGTTTAAAGAAGATGTGGGATATACGTCAATGAGACAGGCATCCACGAAAAATATAAGCTAAAGGAAAAAAATTGCGGACAAGGGTGATCATTGGGGTTTGATCAGACGATCATTTGTTTATCAAAAACATACACCTGATAAATGTTGCTATTATGTACATCATGTTATTGTCACGGAACATGTTCCTTAGATAACTGTAAACAAGGACATTAATACACATAATACATGATGCTATTGTCACGGAACATGTTCCTTTGATAACTGTAAACAAGGACATCAGTACACTTAATACATGATGCTATTGTCACGGAACATGTTCCTTAGATAACTGTAAACAAGGACATTAGTACATGTAATACATGATGTTATTGTCACGGAACATGTTCCTTTGATAACTGTAAACAAGGACATCAGTACACATAATACATGATGCTATTGTCACGGAACATGTTCCTTTGATAACTGTAAACAAGGACATCAGTACACTTAATACATGATGCTATTGTCACGGAACATGTTCCTTAGATAACTGTAAACAAGGACATTAGTACATGTAATACATGATGTTATTGTCACGGAACATGTTCCTTTGATAACTGTAAACAAGGACATTAGTACATGTAATACATGATGTTATTGTCACGGAACATGTTCCTTAGGTAACTGTAAACAAGGACATTAGTACATGTAATGTAATGCTGTGTACTTACCGTGCTATGGACATTAGTACATGTAATGTAATGCTGTGTACTTACCGTGCTATGGACATTAGTACACGTAATACATGACGCTATTGTCACGGAACATGTTCCTTAGATAACTGTAAACAAGGACATCAGTACACGTAATACATGATGTTATTGTCACGGAACATGTTCCTTAGATAACTGTAAACAAGGACATCAGTACACATCATACATGATGCTATTGTCACGGAACATGTTCCTTAGATAACTGTAAACAAGGACCTCAGTACACATAATACATGATGCTATTGTCACGCAACATGTTCCTTAGATAACTGTAAACAAGGACATCAGTACACATAATACACGATGCTATTGTCACGGAACATGTTCCTTATGTAACTGTAAACAAGGACATTAGTACATGTAATGTAATGCTGTGTACTTACCGTGCTATGGACATTAGTACACGTAATACATGATGCTCTAGTCACGGAACATGTTCCTTAGATAACTGTAAACAAGGACATTAATACACATAATACATGATGCTATTGTCACGGAACATGTTCCTTTGATAACTGTAAACAAGGACATCAGTACACTTAATACATGATGCTATTGTCACGGAACATGTTCCTTAGATAACTGTAAACAAGGACATTAGTACACGTAATACATGATGTTATTGTCACGGAACATGTTCCTTTGATAACTGTAAACAAGGACATCAGTACACATAATACATGATGCTATTGTCACGGAACATATTCCTTTGATAACTGTAAACAAGGACATCAGTACACGTAATTCATGATGCTATTGTCACGGAACATGTTCCTTAGATAACTGTAAACAAGGACATTAGTACACATCATACATGATGCTATTGTCACGGAACATATTCCTTAGATAACTGTAAACAAGGACCTCAGTACACATAATACATGATGCTATTGTCACGGAACATGTTCCTTAGATAACTGTAAACAAGGACATCAGTACACATAATACACGATGCTATTGTCACGGAACATGTTCCTTAGGTAACTGTAAACAAGGACATTAGTACATGTAATGTAATGCTGTGTACTTACCGTGCTATGGACATTAGTACACGTAATACATGATGCTCTAGTCACGGAACATGTTCCTTAGATAACTGTAAACAAGGACATTAGTACACGTAATACATGATGCTATTGTCACGGAACATGTTCCTTAGGTAACTGTAAACAAGGACATTAGTGCACGTAATACATGATGCTATTGTCACGGAACATGTTCCTTAGGTAACTGTAAACAAGGAAATTAGTGCACATCATACATGATGCTATTGTCACGGAACATGTTCCTAAGATAACTGTAAACAAGGACATTAGTACACGTAATACATGATGCTATTGTCACGGAACATGTTCCTTAGATAACTGTTAACAAGGACATCAGTACACGTAATACATGATGCTATTGTCACGGAACATGTTCCTTAGATAACTGTAAACAAGGACATCAGTACACGTAATACATGATGCTATTGTCTCGGAACATGTTCCTTAGATATCTGTAAACAAGGACATTAGTACACATCATACATGATGCTATTGTCACGGAACATGTTCCTTAGATGACTGTAAACAAGGACATGAGTACACATAATACATGATGCTATTGTCACGGAACATGTTCCTTACATAACTGTAAACAAGGACATTAGTACATGTAATGTTATGCTGTGTACTTACCGTGCTATGGACATTAGTACACGTAGTGTAATGCTGTGTACTTACCGTGCTATGGACATTAGTACACGTAATACATGATGCTCTAGTCAGGACATGTTCCTTAGATAACTGTAAACAAGGACATTAGTACACGTTATACATGATGCTATTGTCACGGAACATGTTCCTTTGATAACTGTAAACAAGGACATTAGTACATGTAATGTAATGCTGTGTACTTACCGTGCTATGGACATTAGTACACGTAATGTAATGCTGTGTACTTACCGTGCTATGGACATTAGTACACGTAATACATGATGCTCTAGTCACGGAACATGTTCCTTAGATAACTGTAAACAAGGACATTAGTACACGTAATACATGATGCTATTGTCACGGAACATGTTCCTTAGATAACTGTAAACAAGGACATTAGTACACATCATACATGATGCTATTGTCACGGAACATGTTCCTTTGATAACTGTAAACAAGGACATCAGTACACGTAATACATGATGCTATTGTCACGGACCATGTTCCTTAGATAACTGTAAACAAGGACATTAGTACATATAATACATGATGCTATTGTCACGGAACATGTTCCTTAGATAACTGTAAACAAGGACATCAGTACACGTAATGTAATGCTGTGTACTTACCGTGCTATGGACATTAGTACACGTAATGTAATGCTGTGTACTTACCGTGCTATGGACATTTGTACACGTTATACATGATGCTCTAGACACGGAACATGTTCCTTATATAATTGTAAACAAGGACATCAGTACCCGTAATGTAATGCTGTGTACTTACCGTGCTATGGGCATTAGTACACGTAATGTTATGCTGTGTACTTACCGTGCTATGGACATCAGTACACGTAATACATGATGCTCTAGTCACGGAACATGTTCCTTAGATAACTGTAAACAAGGACATCAGTACACGTAATTCATGATGCTATTGTCACGGTACATGTTCCTTAGATAACTGTAAACAAGGACATCAGTACACGTTACACATGATGCTATTGTCACGGAACATGTTCCTTAGATAACAGTAAACAAGGACATTAGTACATGTAATGTAATGCTGTGTACTTACCGTGCTATGGACATTAGTACCCGTAGTGTAATGCTGTGTACTTACCGTGCTATGGACATTAGTACACGTAATACATGATGCTCTAGTCACGGAACATGTTCCTTAGATAACTGTAAACAAGGACATTAGTACACGTAATACATGATGCTATTGTCACGGAACATGTTCCTTAGATAACTGTAAACAAGGACATTAGTACACATCATACATGATGCTATTGTCACGGAACATGTTCCTTTGATAACTGTAAACAAGGACATCAGTACACGTAATACATGATGCTATTGTCACGGACCATGTTCCTTAGATAACTGTAAACAAGGACATTAGTACATATAATACATGATGCTATTGTCACGGAACATGTTCCTTAGATAACTGTAAACAAGGACATCAGTACACGTAATGTAATGCTGTGTACTTACCGTGCTATGGACATTAGTACACGTAATGTAATGCTGTGTACTTACCGTGCTATGGACATTTGTACACGTTATACATGATGCTCTAGACACGGAACATGTTCCTTATATAATTGTAAACAAGGACATCAGTACCCGTAATGTAATGCTGTGTACTTACCGTGCTATGGGCATTAGTACACGTAATGTTATGCTGTGTACTTACCGTGCTATGGACATCAGTACACGTAATACATGATGCTCTAGTCACGGAACATGTTCCTTAGATAACTGTAAACAAGGACATCAGTACACGTAATTCATGATGCTATTGTCACGGAACATGTTCCTTAGATAACTGTAAACAAGGACATCAGTACACGTAATTCATGATGCTATTGTCACGGAACATGTTCCTTAGATAACTGTAAACAAGGACATTAGTACACGTTATACATGATGCTATTGTCACGGAACATGTTCCTTAGATAACAGTAAACAAGGACATTAGTACATGTAATGTAATGCTGTGTACTTACCGTGCTATGGACATTAGTACCCGTAGTGTAATGCTGTGTACTTACCGTGCTATGGACATTAGTACACGTAATACATGATGCTCTAGTCACGGAACATGTTCCTTAGATAACTGTAAACAAGGACATTAGTACACGTAATACATGATGCTATTGTCACGGAATATGTTCCTTAGATAACTGTAAACAAGGACATTAGTACACATCATACATGATGCTATTGTCACGGAACA